CCGGCCGCGGCCCCCCGGCCCACGCCCGGCTCCAGGAGAGAAAGGCCCCGCCCTATCTGTTGAAGCCGCGACACCGCCTCCTCCCGCCCCGCCGAGCCTCCATCCAATAGCGAGCGAGGATGGGTGGGACACGGCAGCTGTCGTGAGGGGGTTCTGGCCAATGGGGAAGTGTGCCGGGCCTGATGGGCGGGGCGTCAGGGCCTTGTCACGCTCGGGTCCGTGTGAAAACGGGGGTTCCGAGTGCAAAGCAAAGTTTTTTTGTAAACCGTCTGCAAAGGCGGGGGGGCGAAGAAGGCGCCCGAGACCGGGCCGAGTGCAGCTGCCGTGGTCGCCGCCTTTTTAGCTCCCCCGGCGTCGGCTCTTCGACCTGAGCCACAGCGGAGGCGACCAGTGGATGGAAGACCTGCGCTGAGAGCCCGCAGATGCTTGGAGCCTTCGCAGCGTGGAGCTGCCCGTCGCCCGCTTGCTCCTGCTGGGGCTCTTGGTGCCCGGGCTCCGGGAATCCCAGCTCCCCGTCGCCGCCTCCGCCGCCCGGCTGCGGGTGTGAGGGCTGCTGGAGCTGAGCCGGGCCTCCGCGCCGGCTCCGAAGACCGACGCCTGAGGAGCTGCGCGCCGCCGCCCCGCGGGGGACGCCCACAGGCGCGGGAGCTCGGCGGCTTGACCCGGGGCTCGCCCCCGTCCGGTCCCTTCTGCGGTGTCTCGAAGGCCCCTCACTGGTGTCCTGAGCGGTCCGGCTCGGGTGGTGAGAGCCCCGCGCCGCCCTCCCGCGAGGAGGGGTTGCAGACTGACCCTCAGTGCCTCGCCGCTACCGCCTCCTGAGTGTCCGCGCCGCGCTCGGCGGGCCCCCAAGGCGCAGCCATGGGGTGCTGGGGTCGGAACCGGGGCCGGCTGCTGTGCATGCTGATGCTGACCTTCATGTTCATGGTGGTGGAGGTGGTGGTGAGCCGGGTGACCGCGTCGTTGGCGATGCTCTCCGATTCCTTCCACATGCTGTCGGACGTGTTGGCGCTGGTGGTGGCGCTGGTGGCCGAGCGCTTCGCCCGGAGGACCCACGCCACCCAGAAGAACACATTCGGCTGGATCCGGGCCGAAGTGATGGGGGCTCTGGTGAACGCCATCTTCCTGACTGGCCTCTGCTTCGCCATCCTGCTGGAGGCCATCGAGCGCTTCATCGAGCCGCACGAGATGCAGCAGCCGCTGGTGGTCCTCGCGGTCGGCGTGGCGGGGCTGGTGGTCAACGTGCTTGGGCTCTGTCTCTTCCACCATCACAGCGGCTTCGGCAACGACTCCGGCCACGGCCACTCGCACGGGGGCCACGGCCACAGCCACGGCTTCCCCAAGGGGGTCCGCGGCAAGAGCAACCGTCCCGGGTACAGCGACAACAACGTGAGCCCCGGCGAACAGAGACCTGACCAGGAGGAGACCAACACCCTGGTGACCAATAGTAGCAACTCCAACGGACTGAAACTGGACGCGACAGGTGAGGAGAGGAAGAAGCCGCCGCAGGTGGTTGGGTTTGGGGAGCCCAGACCCTAGCCGGGCCCCGGGCGGGATGGCCCGCACGCCCCCTGGTGCCGGAGCGGACCTGCGCTGCGCCGCCGCCTTCCCGCTCCCTCCAGGTCCCGCCCCCGCCGCGGAAGGCGTGCAAATAGGACCCCGGTGTTAGGAGCCCCGCGGGTCCGGGACACATCGCGGGTGGAGGTGGGGACTGTGCTGCTGAGAGTGGGAGCAGGGTCAGGGGGTGTCCGTCGGCGCGCTGCAGTCTGTAACCGCACTTGGCTGTCTTTACTGGCTTTTAGAGAGAGACTGTCTGATTTGGGGTTTTACCAGGTAGAAAATGCTTCCTAACTCAATTTCCTGGCCCTGTTGGGAAGTGGAGAGAATCCTCCATTCGTCTTTAGTTGTTGGCTTTTTAAAACCCAAGTGGTTCTTACGTCTTTTAAACAAGTTTCTCGATATTGTAATCAGAGCTATCTTATAGGCTTTACTTTCCTGAGCTCAACACCCGGGTCGAAGATTTCTTTTATGAACAATATATGTTTCAGTTAATTGTCTAAAATCTAAACTTAATCCTGAAAATCCTAGATTGAGGACCTGTTTAAGCATGATAAACATTTCACTTAGGACTTTTCATAATCATACTAAAACAAAAGTGATGTTATATTTTTAATGAGTGCTGTTCATTCTAATTGTAAGTGCTCTTGAAGGAAATTTGGAAATGTTGAGAGAAAGGAGAAGGGAAAAGGAATCAATTGATGCCCTACTACCCAAGTCCAGTGACCTTAACAGTTTGGTGTATTTCCTTCCAATTTTTTTTCCATTTATGTTTATTCACCCAGTTGAATGATACTACTTAAAGTTTTCCCTTTTTTTTCAAGATGCAGGGTATTATGTTTATGAAATTCAAGTTGTATATTGAAATGTTTAACAATAAATTAATTTCTTCTCACTCCTACTCTGCAGGGTGTTATTCCAAAGAAAATTAAGCTGCTCTGGTGTGTATATTTCCTTTAACAGATCAGTAAGTTCGGTTTAAGAGTAGTAAGGTGGATAGTGATCATTTAGTTTCAACTTTTCCTGAAGTCTCTGTTAAGTTTGTATTGTTGATTTGTCAGTTTCTAAACCCCCTCTACCAAGAGTCTAATAAAAATTTAAGCGTTAACCTTAATACCTTAATGACAAAGATTGACTAGAGCTCTGTCAAATCAAGCCTTTGTATTATAGGTATCTATTGTTGCATTTAGTTTGGGGGGATAGCATTCAATTTTATGTTTTCTTTTTGGAACATGCCAAAAAGTATAGGAGAATGTTCACAGGACCCCACCCCCACAGAAAAAGATGAGCTTTTTTTTTAGAGTGAGAGAGGTAGGATGGTAGTTAGGAGAATGGGGGAACTATATCATCTTAATGACTTAATTTAGTCCCAGCCATTATGTCCTTGCTTGTTCTCAGCATGTCAGTTTATATTAAATTGCCCAGAGCATGTTTTAAAATTATGTTTTATAAAAATTCTTCACATCCTTACTAAAATGGAATGAGGCAACGATGTTTATATAAACAAGTGTATTTGATAGAATTTGCATTTCTTTGCAGATCCAGAAAAGTTGAGAAATGATGCGATAGAAGTACAAGTGAATGGGAATCTTATCAGAGAAGATGACCATGTGGAATTGGAAGATGATGATAAGGCTGAACAACTTAACATGCGTGGAGTTTTTCTGCATGTCTTTGGAGATGCTTTGGGTTCAGTGATTGTAGTAGTAAATGCCTTGCTCTTTTACTATTCTTGGAAAGGTTGTCCTAAAGGGGAGTTCTGTGTGAACCCATGTACCCCTGACCCCTGCAAAGCATTTGTAGAAGTAATTAATGGTACTCGTGCAACAGTTCATGAGGCTGGTCCTTGCTGGGTGCTTTATTTAGATCCAACTCTATGTATTGTAATGGTTTGTATACTTCTTTACACAACGTATCCATTACTTAAGGAATCTGCTCTTATTCTTCTACAAACTGTTCCTAAACAAATTGATATCAGAAATTTGATAAAAGAACTTCGAAATGTTGAAGGAGTTGAGGAAGTTCATGAATTACATGTTTGGCAACTTGCTGGAAGCAGAATCATTGCCACTGCTCACATAAAATGTGAAGACCCAGCATCATACATGCAGGTGGCTAAAATCATTAAAGACGTTTTTCATAATCACGGAATTCACGCTACTACCATTCAGCCCGAATTTGCTAGTGTAGGCTCTAAATCAGGTGTAGTCCCGTGTGAACTTGCCTGCAGAACTCAGTGTGCTTTGAAGCAATGTTGTGGGACACGGCCACAAGCAATTCCTGGAAAGGATGCAGAAAAGGCCCCGACAGTTAGCATTTCTTGTTCAGAACTTAGTGACAATCTAGAGAAGCCCAGGAGGACTAAAGGTGAAAACATGCCTGCTGTTGTGATAGGTATTAAAAAAACGCCAAACAACCAACCTGAATCATCTTTGTAAGTCTTGAAAAAGATGTGATATTTGACTTTTGCTTTAAACTGCAAGGGGAAAAAGACTCCATTGAAATTCTAAGTTTGCCAAGTAGTGTAATTGAAGTCCTTGTCTGGTCACACAGTTTAATTCTATTTTTGTAAGAACATAAGGGGACTGCTTAACAGAGTTCTATATTACAAGTTTGTGATTCTTAGTGCAGAGTACAGCTATGCTGTAACAATTTTGGAAAGCCGGTTTTAACACTATGTTACATTTTTGTTTAAAGTAAGTATAAACCTTATATAACATAATGACATTTGATTTCCAGTTTTTCCATGGGTAAAAAATTAATTAGGGGGATAAATAAATTAAAATTGTTACTGGAATTTCTCTGCTTTTCTTTCCCCCCAGTGTTATACTTTGTTTATTAGAATTTTAACTCTTAGAATTTAAAATTCACCAACAACTTTGTTTTAGGTAATATTTACTTGCCCTTTGAGGTCACTACATAGCATAAATGACAGCATATTTTAAGAGTGACTTGTAGATATTATTAGGGAAAGTCACTTTTTCACATGGGGTATATAGAATACTAACGTTCAGTTTCTATCTTGCATTCCATATTGCTGAGTATTATTCTAATAGTGAAATAAATTGAACTACAGTTTATACATGATAGGGCATATGGGAAGTAAGAGCGTGGAAGAAAGTTTACCAAATTAAATATTTAGATTATTGTAAATTAATATTCAGACTGCATTTCTAAATTATCCTGAGAATTTAAACCTGTTTTCTCTAACCAAAGTTAATCTAAAACATGAATATGTTTCTTTGAGAGATTGGCATCAGAAACAGTGAGCTGAAAGTTTACTTACAAAATATATACAGTAAATATTTTTAAGGACATTAAACTAATAATTACATGTTAAATGCAAGCTTATTAATGAAATCTTTTAAATTGTGGATGTTTTTAAAAATTTTATAGAGTTAAAGTCCTTTCATAGTGATCAATTATGAATGGATTTAAATGCAGCTTTTCAAACACAACCAGCAATGCTTGTGATTTGTCAAGAGCCACTGACTTGGGAGAAGGAAAAAATCTTAAGGTTAATGCAGTTTGGACATTAAATTCTTAAAAAGCAAAATTAGTTAAGACAAAATTAATGAGATTCTATAAGTTATCTTGTCTTGACATTGCTCATATCTTCCAATAGTGGCTTATTTTTTCAAAGGGCCACAATATCTACACCGGAAGTTGTTCTTGGCTATTTTATTGTTATGGATCTCAAATTCATACACAAATGTTATTTAAGGATATTTAAGTTATATTTTTCTTGATAGAGGTTATGCTTTGTGAAGAAACTGTAGATTTTTGTCCTCAAAAGGATGAATGTTAATACCAGTTATCATGTATAGCTCTATTTTTCTAGAAACAAGGTATCCTGACTACTTCAGTGACTTTTATAGCTGACTACTTTTGGAATGGCTACCCTTGGAGATTTGAAATAATTCATTGTTTAATGGGTCTTAAGATGAAAGCTCTGGCCTTTGACAATTAACTTTTTAAAGGGATGATCTTTTGTGGTAGATGATGTGTTTTTTCCCTAGTGCAAGCCCATTGCTGGCAGTGGGCCTATTTAAGAACAGCTGGTTTTTCCAATGAGAATGAGGTAATTTTAGGAACATAGTTTGTTAGTTCACATTTACTATAATGGGCCAAAACCATAACCTGCCAATTTGCAGTACATCTTGATCTTTTAATACTCTTATCTGATATTGTGTAATTCAATTCCTTAAACTAGTATTTATTTTGAATTTTGCAAAAATTTTTTTGAAATATGAAATCAGGGGATCTCATATGGGCAAATAGAAAACTTTGAATTATACTGTATCATGTACATTCCTAATTTAACACTTTAAACTACAAAATTTTAAGATCTCAAAACTGTATAGAAACATTTCGGTAGTGATACAATAAGAAAACTGGTAAAATAGTGGGATTTTCTTTACAAATGCTCTATTGGGTCTATAAAAAGTTGTATAATGTATAAGACATCAACTGAATGAGGATTTTTTAAATGGTGTGTATAAGCAGGGGACAAGGGCTTTTTTTTTTTTTTTAAAGTGCTTTGAAGGTAAGGGCCTTTAGATTTCAGTTATTTCACTTTTCATAATTTTCAAGTAGCTTATATGTAACAAAGTGGTACCATAGGATTCTCTTTTTTCAAAGGACTTTGTCATAATAGCAAAATCAGTGGGCACTGACTCACCTTTTGAGTTTTAGCAGAGAATTATTTATTTCTTTACAATGCACTTTCTAACCCATTTTTAGCTATATTAGCATTATCTTTTTAAAAAATGCTTTTATATTTAAATATTGTGGGATTTAAGTGTCTTTTCCAAAATAGCTTATTCCTTCCTGAAAGAAAATGAGAGAAATACCCTGCATTATTAGGAGACTTAAACCCAATATTTAAATATGCTGTTTTATAACACTGCATCAGTTTTAGGAGGTGCATCTCTCCTGCTGGCTCTTTTATATTTGAGCAAGACCAGTGTATTTAGAATATGTGTTTAGCAACCTGTCTGTTGTCTTGGTTTAGTGAGAAGGAGGTGCTGCATGTGCCTGAATTAAAACCAACTCAGAAATTTTTCCAAGCCAAATGCAGCCTTAGTGATGAGAGATTTAATTCTCCATTGTCACCTTTTAGTTTATATGATTTTTTAATTAGCTTTTTTTTTTCTTTTTGAAGGCTATCCACGTCGTAAAAGTATGGACTAGAACCTATAAAAAAAAGGTCAAAAAACTAAAAAATTTTGCCGTATGTATGTTAATGTTTTAGAAAATGATGTTTGACTAACTAAGGTATGTCATTTGAATAGGAAAAATTTCCATCAAGAGCACCTTTGGAAAATCACTATAGGTAGAAGACTATGTTAACACGTTTATATATTGTTAACATCTTCAGTTAATATTGAACTTTTGAAAGGTTTGAGGGAAAAGGCCTATGGAACTTAATGTGAAGTATTTAGGAGGCTAACTGGTATGGAGTTGAAGATTTTTACTGTTTATTAGCAGATATCATTTGAATGATATAAACGTCATTTACCTGCTGTCTTAAGATGTTCAGATACATAAATATGGAGAATAATTCTACAATATAGAAATATTTATTTTAATCGAGTTTCAGTCCTAAAACAGTGTTAAAACTCTTGGGAAGGTGGCGGGGTTTTTTTGTTTGTCGTTTTTTAAATTGAAACTGTCAAATACAGTGTTTGACCATCTGAAATGGAAATTGTAATAGCACTATTTTGATGTAACTCTACCAATACTATGTGGCAATGCTATTTTGTTTTACTAACAAGCTCTGGAATATTTAGCAGTCATTTTCACTGGCACAAGAGCTTTTTGTATGTCACCCAGTTTAAACTTTAAAACCAAAAATTTTATGGTCCAGTGTCTTTGACAAAAAGATGCTGAAGGGAATGTAACATACAATTAATATGTAGTTATATATAAAAAGACACAAATTGCCATGTTATGGTTCTGCCTTGAAAACAGCACAATGAAGTGTATCAGTGTATTCTGTGATTCTTTATGAAACTTCCATGTTGTGTTGTTTTGTGTCTGCCATAGCCTGTCCTTTGGGCCAGGTGTGGCACAGTTAAATGCAACTATCATCTCATTAAAAGCAGATGCACATAACATGTCTTTAGTGCTGCAACATTTTACCTAACATTTTGTATGTTTTATGACTGTACGTTGTTTCCAAAGCTGTTCCTACCTCACCATGAGGCTTTATGGATTGTTATGTATTATAAATGTTCTTTATGAGACAGACTACTGTGTTTCTTCTCATTTATTAAAAGTTAAGTAGAAAAATAAACTAATTTTTAAGTATTTACTTCATTTTGTGCATATGGCCTCCCCTCCTAGGCTGGGTTATATAGAAGAAAGTTCGACTTCAGATAAGGAAAGGAAATTTCAGCTTAACATAAATTATGTAGTAATAGGTTAACCTTTTGGTACTTGCTATTTATTATTTGTAAGCATAGTTACTAACAAGGATTATTAAATATTTTACAATTATATAATCGAACTATTAACCCAAGAATACATTAGTACGTTACTTCAGTTACATGAGTTCAGGAGTATCGTGTCTCGTAAAGAATTTCTTTTAAGAACTCGTACTTCTGACTGGGAGATAAATAGTTGAAAAATCAATTGACAAATGGCAGTAGACACTTAGAATTGGTAAATACAGTAGATAATCCAAAGAAGGGATAAAAATCTTCGGAAAGGATGCAGATAGGTTAAAATTGAAAGGAGAGGCAGGAATTGAGAGGAAAAGGGCATGGAATAGTATAGAGGGTTGAGGGTCCAGAGGTAGAAGGAGATTGTAAAAGATTTAAAAAGCGCCACGTCAGCTTGTTTGAATTCGGTTTTACAGGAATGGAGGAAGCCAATAACTTTCGAGAGGAAGAGGCACTGATTTGGAATAGGAAGCAGACAAAGTGAGACAGGAGGACTAATGAGTTTGCGAGGTATTCAATGCTAAGGGGGTAAACTAGTTCCCAAATGGACATGCCTACATTACACATACCACTTTTCTATTCCATACATTGTTTTCCTACTTCAGCACTTCTAAAATCAGAATGCAAAGGTAGAATCTGGTATCTTATTACTGTTGGCCAATTTATCTGGATGTGTTTTTACTGTTAAGAGGTTCAGAGAAGAATACTCAGGCAACATGGTTTTTCAAGTATTTGTCAATTCTCTGAAACAATTTCAGGTACTATACGTTGCACATCTGGATGAGAGCTATTGCTTTTGAACCAGATGAAAACAAAGTGACGATGTTTAATTTTAAAGATATTTCATAGTTCTGAGCCTTCAAAATTGACCATTTTTGCCTCCACCCCCAGCAGCTGTCACTTTTATAGACCACCCCTGACAACTGATTTTTTTACTTTAAACTAGAAACCGTACTTCGAAATTTGAATTTTGATCTTTTTCTGGGCTAGCGATGTGCAGTATTGTGATGCTGGGCAGCAGCAGCAAGCTGCAGCTCCCAGTCAGCCACATGGTCACGAGGGTAAACAACCGATACTCTACAGTGTAGTATTACATGCATTTTTAACTTAGAATATTTCCAACTTACAATGGGTTTATGAGGACGTAACGTCATAGTAAATGGGAGAGCATCTGTATAGCTTTTTTTCTTTTAAATCAAGTAATTTATGACACTTGCATCTGCTTATTTAGAAATGTGTTTCCCTTTCAAATTGTAAACTGAGGTCAGGGCTGTCATCTCTAGGATCTAGCACAGAGACTAGCACAGCATAGTCATTCAAAGGTTTCAATGAATATTGAATGGCAGGAGTAGAAGAAGTTATAGTACTAATACTATTAACAGCTAAAATATACTGAGTGTATATTTCCAGGCACATACATTTTCATCTAATCCTTACAAACCATTAGGCATATTAAATTCCCATTTTATAGACTAACAGATATTAAGCACCTTACCCAAAGTCATCTAGCTCGTAGGTGATGGAGCCCGAACTGGCATTCAGCAAGAGATCTAGGACACAGCAAGTAGCTTGCTTTCCCGTCACTTTGAACCATCGACAACCCTCATAAGTAAACTTAAAATGAATTCTTTTTAATTTTCATCCAATGAGCAGCAATAGATAGGCAAAAGAAATTAGGAAAATAAGTTTTAAAACATTTGATATTTATTTAAAAAATCTGAGTAGTCACCAGATGACAAGTCAGAACTTTTTTACCTAAGTTAGACTTTCTTATGTTACAGTTTAGTGTCGTTTTATTTTTAATTACATGGAGGAAAGGAATAACAATCGTTTTTAGAATTTAGGGCCTCTCAGTTTTAAATCGGTCTTGTGGACAAGTGCCAGTCTTTACAAATGTAGTGTTTTCACCTAAGCTACCGTATAGTATTGTTTGAGGTATTAACGGCTTCTACTGGATCACAAAAAACTGGGGCTTAAATATCTTTTTATGCTGAAAACAGTGGGTCTTTTGGGAAATGAGAAGCCGAGGTAATTGAAGTAAATGTGGATGAAGAAACAGCGAGAGAACCATCCGCTTTCCAATGGGGGTGCTATTAGCATTTGGGTGAAACAATTTATCATAGGACAGAACTGTCCTGTGCCTTGAGTTTAGTAACCCTGGTCTCTTTCCATACAAATGCCTATAACTACTCCCCTCCCCCACCCATCGTCAGGACACCCCAACTGTTTCAAATGTTCCCTAGGGAGGCAGAATGGCCCTATGGGAAACCACAAAAGGCTAACCCACTGGGTACCCCTCCAGTCTCTCCCATCTGATCCAAATGCTACATCTAGTCTCCTCCTTTTACATAGATTGGTAACAGATCCTTCGTGTTTTGTTCGAATGACAGTTTAATCCTTAAGTGCAGGAACCATGCTTCCATGCCTGCAGAGTCAAATAGAAAGTCTGAAGGTTTGTTCTCTGAGGCTCGTAACTAATGATAGGACCAGGTAGACAGGAGTCTTGCTGATAGGTTAAGATTGTTCTAAGCAAAAAAGCAGTGCAGGTGGAATCATCTGAGTTGGTTATGGAAACCCTTGGCTCTCTCTTCTGAAGTACTAAGTAAAAATGGGTTTCTGGCAGTATAAAAAGGGCTCAAAACCAGTACTTTTTATTAAAATACAAAATTGAATATTCAAATAAAAATTTAGAAGGATTGACCCTAATTTTTCTTTCTAAGGGTAAATATGTCAAAGATAATGTTGGACAAAATTTATCAGGACTTTTTATAGCCTGGAACAAGAGTGACAGTCAATGACAGTGCCCTGGAGTCTTGCATCAAATTTTAGATTCTTCTGGAAAGTGATAGTGATGAGGCAGTCTTTGTTGGTACAGTTATTGAGTCTTGAGTTTGAATATATTATTAAAAACCAATGAGCCGAAAAAGTTATATAGCTTACTATGATGGAATAATGACCCCCCTGAAAGATGTTCAATTCCTGACTCCTAGAATATGTTGCCTTACGAGGGGGCTTTGAGAGTGTAATTATGTTAGGGATGTCGAGATGGGGGGTTAACTTACATAATCTGAATGGGCTCAGTAGAATCATCAGTGTCATTACAGGAAGAGGCAGGAGGGTCAGAGCTGGAGAGAAGATGTGGACGACAGAAGTAGGGACTGTGATTAGAGAAAGAGAGTCGAAGATGCTACACTGTTAGCTTTGAAGATGGAGGAAGAGGCCAGAGGCCAAGGAATTCAGACATCCCCTAGTAGCTGGAAAAGTCAAAGGAACAAATAAAACACAACGAGAAACTTCATCCCTGGATGGCGCACTGGATGGCATCACTGGATGGCATGAAGCTCTGAGGAGGAGGGCAAGGCTGTTTGGCCATGGGTCTTTGGGCAATAAATAAACCTTGGGAAACTTGAAAAAAAAAAAAAAGTTAAAGAAACCGATTCTCTCCTATGGCCTCCGGAACGAACACAGCTCAGCTGACACCAGTATTTATTCCATAAGACCCATTTTGGACTTCTAACCTCCAGAACTGTAAGGTAATACTTTTTTTAAAGCCACTAAGTTTGTGGTAATTTGTTACGGCAGCAATAAGAAACTAATATACATATATTAATGCATACATATAACACACACTAAATTTTTATATTTATCATTCCAAAACCTTTACTCTCATTGAAGTTAAATTACAGAATAACTTGCAAATAAAAATTTCATCAGAAAAGGGCTAGACACTATAAATGGTGGAATACCTTTTTATTTTATGCTTGTGCAATAATTTATATCGGATAAGGTAACGAAGCCTTGATCTGCGGTTTTAAGGTAAGGAGATGCTAAGGTTGGGTATGTGAAATACGATAAGGAGTTTTCTCTAACCAGACATGTGCTCTGAGTTTGTATGTTGAGATTTCAAGCTTAAGAGATAAATAATTCCTTAAAAAATTTTGTGGGAGTCCAGACATCTTCATGCGTTACAGTGAGACCCAACCTTGTGTGGACTGGAGGTGCCATCTCGAAAACCCCTGAGGCCTCCCGAGGTTACCAGGGACGCTCGCCGGACCGGGCTTCATTGTCTCCTTACGTTCCCTCCATTTGTCCTCCTGCCCACGCCTGCTTTCCTCCTCTTCTCTCTCCTCTCTCTAACCTGTTCTTTCCCATCCCCACCCCTTATTAGGCATAAGACCTTGGCAGGTTGGATACCTCTTGGAGTCTCGGTTTTCAGATCTGTGAGATGGGGATAATGCATCTTTTATAGGGTCCTTGTGAGGATTACATGAGACAAAAACTAAGATTTGCCACATTCTGTGTTCTGGTACTGAGCTCAATGTTTCAGGCCATGTAATCCTTACAAATACTCCATGAACTTAACGCTGTTATTATCTCCAACTTAGAGAGGAGGACAGTGTGAGAGATTTCTATAAATCTTGTATAGGAACCAAAACTGAACCCACCTCTGTCTAAGCAGAGTCTGTGTTCTTTTAAAAAAAAAAAAAAATTTTTTAAATTGAATCACAGTTGACCTACAATGTTAGATTAGTCTCAGGTATACAACATAGTTATTCAGGGTCTGCACTCTTAACTATAACATCAGCTCCGCAGAGTACACTAGCACAGTCTCTGCTCTCTGGGGGCTCCTCAAATTCAGCAGTGTGCAGAGTGGTCAGCTCTGGACTCAGACAGCCTGGCTTCGAATCCCAGACTCACTGCCTGTGCAGCTTGCGTAAGACACTCAGACTTTCTGCTTTAATTGCCTCATCTGAAAAATGAGGCTAATAGTAACATTTAATAATAATAGGGTGTCAACATATGTAAAACATTTTGAACAATGCCTGCTCTTTAGTATGTACTCAATAAATAT